TGTCAAAGCTCTCTCGCGCGATGGCCCACCCCCATCCATCTCAAAGCACTAGGTGGGGGTGACCTTGGGACGAATGGCCCGCGCCCTGAGCATGAGTGTGGGCGGGCCGAGCCAACTGGGACCCGCAGTGGGGTCGACTAAGGCTCGAAAGTCTACCAGGGTTTTGCCCTACACCGTTTTCCGGAAGAATACAGACGCCTCCTCCAGGCGGTTATACGGGCCTATCCTGAGGCCGTCAGTATTCAGGACCACGACATAGGGCTAACCCCTTTGATACAGCATGCGATTGGTACCGGGGATCACGCCCCGATACATTGTCGACCGTACCGATATTCCCTTAAAGAACGACAGCTGGCGTTAGAAAGAGTACGGGAATTCGAGCGGTTGGGTTGGGTCGAACCATCGTTGGGACCGTGGTCTTTTTCCGTGGTCCTCGCGCCAAAACGAAATGGTTCGGTCCGGGTATGTATCGACTACCGAAAATTGAAGGCAATCAGATGTGTATCCCTTGCCGCGAATCGACGATTTGTTAGATGCTATCGAGGCCGCGCGAGTCTTTTCGAAGTTCGATATCCGACACGGTTCTCACCATGTCGCAGTCCGACCGGAGGACTGACCCAAAACCGCTTTCGTCCTATTTGAGGGCACATGGCAATGGGTCCGGTGTCCCATGGGAATTTGTAACGCCCCTGCAACGTTTCAGCTGACCATGAATATGGTCTTCGCTGAGTTCGTTAACAAAACCCGACTAACCCAGCCCCTGATCAATTTCTGCGTGATTGTGTACATGGATGGTATTTTGGTCTTTTAAAAAACACACGAGTACCACGTGGAACATATTGAGTGGGTTTTGCATGCACTAAAAGATGCGGGGTTCAAAGTGGCCTTGGAGAAAAGTGAGTTCTTCTTGTCGGAGATCTCATTCTTGGGATACATCATCATGGTCGATGGACTAAAACCTGATCCGAGGAAGGTGTCAGCAGTTCAAGAAGCCCCGGCGCCGATCATACTCACCCAGGTTCGGGCTTTTCTAGGGCTGGCATCCTATTACCGACGCTTCATCAAGGGGTTCGCCCGTATAGCGAAGCCCCTCACGAACCTGCTGAAGAAAGAGGAACAGCTGATCTGGACGCCGGAATGCGAAGCGGCATTTCAGGCGTTGATGGAGGCTCTGACATCTGCTCCTGTGTTGGTGCGTCCCGACCCGACAAGACCGTTCGCACTGTACACCGACTGGCAGCCTCAGACGATATCGGCGGTGCTGACTCTACACGGGGCGGACGGAAGGGAACATATCATTGAGTATGCGTCCAAGACGTTGAGCCAGGCGCAGGCTAATTACGAAGCATGCAAAGGCGAATGCCTGGCGGTGGTGTGGGGGATCCAGCATTTCCGACCGTATCTCTACGGCCAGAAATTTGTGTTTGTAACGGATCATCAACCGCTGTTGTCCCTACGCAACAACACGGACTACACGGGGACGCTGGGCAGGTGGGCGGTGCGTCTGCAAGACTATGACTTCGACATCCGACACCGTACCACGCGGCAGCATGGTAGCGCCGATGGACTGACGCGCCTCCTGCCGCCCAACAAGTGTCCCGCCAACGAGCAACTCATTCCGTAGAGGCCAGAAGTCGCGGCGACGAAACCGCACTACGGGGAGCTACACGTGCTGCGCAAAAACGACGCCTGAGTCCAGAATGGAGGTTTAACCGGAGATGGCAGACGCTATCTCTTTGCCCTCATCCAACTCCCTCGCTCTCTCGTCTAGTCCCTACTCGTCCCCTGAAACACATCTAAGTCCCTGCTTTTTCTGTACCTTGCCTATGGTCCCGGACCAAGAAGGGTCACATCCGGGAGGGCCCAGTTTTCTTTTGTGGGTGCAGTGTGGTCGGTGTCAAGCGGTCAAGTCCCACGGACAATGCGTTAGGTACCGAAGTGAAAAGACGTGGGTCTGTCCCAACTGTAGAACGGACCAAGTCCCTACCGAGAAACGGTATCTGGATGCACGAACAGCCGCCGGATTTGCGCCAAGTGTCCGCCAGGCAGAAGTCTGGATGGACCTTCTGTTGCTACGGAGGCTGTCAGGCGACTCGCTGTCAGAACTTACCAAAGTCGAGCGGCGGAGAGTCACGGAGCGGGCGCAGGACTATCGCTGGCAAGGACCGATGTTACAAAAACGAAAAGTCGATGATGACGGAGGGTCTAGCTAGTTGACGGTCCCGCACCCTTTCGCTAGGTTCGATTGGACACGAGCCGCTCATGAGGAGGATGCGGTCCATTTCGCAGTCAAGTACACGGAAAAAGCCATCGAAAAGAACAGATGGTACTGGTCGGGAATTCGGGAAGATGTGAAATACACCGTCCAGATCTGCCCGGCCTACGCGACGGACAAGGCGTCGGTACAGATGCCTCGGACGATGGTGCCCACTCGGGTACTGCGCCCCTTTCAGAGGGTTAGCATCGACACGACGGATATCAACGTTCCGAGAGGTCCCGTCGATCAGGGAGAGCTCAGTGTTCTTTTAGTGGTCCTGGGTCGGCGGTCATAGTTCTAGGAGGGGCGTGGCCGAGGATTTCTGGCCATAGGGGTTGAGTCTCCCGGACGGAACGGGAGGCTCTCGTTTCGTGCCAGAGGTTACCCCGGAGTCGAACTGTCGTCGCCAAGTCCCGTGGGGGTTGGATCGCTCCGAAACGATAAAATGAGAAGGGTTTTCGCGAAAACGAACTGTCGTTGTGCATCAGGACGGGAAAAGGCCTCAAGGGGAGAGGGCCATGGCGGCGGGAGACAAAACTTCGGTCGTCAGGGGTTTGGAGGATAGGTGGTGGGTTCGAAGCCTTCAGGCCTCGCCATCGGCCTCACGAAGTGACCGAACCGTCGGGTCTTTGCTGTAGAGGTGATTGGTTCGAGGCCTTTAAGCCTCAGCGTCGGACTCCCAGAGTCCACGCGGAAGGTTCCGGGAGGATAAAGCGGCGGGAGGACTCACCGGCGTCCGAATTCGAAATTGCGTGGGCAGCGCCCCCGCACTACGGGAAAGCTCGGGGAAACGTGTCGCTCCCTCGTAACCCAGGATCAGTCGTCGCCAAGAACACGAGTCCCCCTGGCGACACCAGCGACAATCAAACTGCGGCCGCCACGCGGAGTGAGCGGCCGACCAGGGTAGCACAGTCAAACCCGTATAAGGCAATATTAGAGTCGGGGAATCAAAACGCTCAATCAAGACAAACCCGTTCCCCCTTATATCACAAGCCCGAGGCGTGTCTCGCCAGCACACTTGCTCCGTTCACCTCAGCGCGCGTCGTACGTCCGCATCGTAGTAGACGCTGTCGTCATCTGTGATGGGGAAGGTCGATAGCGAGATGAGACGATCGGAGGTAGGTGATGAATAGGGGCAAAATCCCGCGCTCCCCGTCATCCGAACCAACATCGACTCCATACAGCACCCGATGCAACCTTCTCTCTCAGGGTTAGTGCKTCGGAGGAAGATGGCGAAATCGAAGCTCTCTTCTCCTTGCAGGGGCGTCGACCGCGCGCGCGGACGCAGGCGGTTGACGTCACCGGTACGGGGACGAGAAGCTCAAAAAGGAAGGCGGGAGAGAGAGAGAGGGAGCTTACACTGAGAACGCGCGCGCATGCGCGAAGGGCCGCGGAAGGGAGGGGAACAACAGGTTTAACACACTCGTACTCCTAGGCAGACGGTCCCCTAGTTCAGTTTCCCCGTCCCCACCCGAACAAGTACATACACGCATGCATGCAAACAATCAACAACCCTTGACAGGACATCTAATCATCCATAGACCTTTGACATCACTCATGCGCACAACCAGCTCCGATCACTCGGGGCTTCACACACACGACATGCATAGACAAAGCAGCAATGGAGACAAAAGCGAGTCCTTCTTGTACACAAAAATTTCAATTCACGGTCGCCCCTAGGCACAGCCTTCGAACCTCCCAAGACCACCGACCACCATAGCCACAAGGCCCTGCCGCGGCCGGCGTCAAATCCTCACCACTGCTCGGTCCCTCCGATTGCGTCGCCCCGAGACTACCGCGGATCCACCCCACGTCGTCACTCCGCCCGTCCTTGGGCTCGTCGAGCCTGTTCGGCGCCGCGGATTTTCGCGTATAGCTCGCGCAGCATTGCAGGCAAGATCAAAGAGAGGGAGAGGAGAGGGTTGCGCGAATTTATAGCGCGGGAGGCGGCGGGTTGTCAGCGCGAGGTGCGGGCAGCGCAGGGTGTAGATGAGCAGGACAGGAGAAAGGTGGGGAGTTTGGGGGTTCGACCTGCGGGGTTGCATGGTCCTACGTGATTGGGGTGTTCGTCCAAGTGGTGCGCGGTTTCCCGCTCTCCACATTGATCCAGCATCCCAACTACACGGCCAATCACTTCGCGGAGAAGATGGGGCAAGGATCGAGCTGGGCAGAGGGGAAGACGAAGAGTCTGGCATGGGGGAAATGCGCGTAGCAAGAAGGGAAGATGGCGCGGGAATGCAAAGTAAGAAACGGGGGTGCGAGACGCACGAAGAAGTCGGGGCTTAGGCGCGCGCGCGCAAAAATTCAAAAAGTCCCCACCGAAACCGTTTCTTGGTTTTGATGCCGCGACCGCTATTCGTCCGCGCGGGAATTATTAACCAAACAAAATGAAAAAGCCGTTTCGAAAAGAAAACAAAAGAAAAAAGAAAGAAAACCCCCTATTTGTCCGCATCCATGCCTCGGGGCTTTTGCGGGAGGGGGGGTTCCTCAGGGATACGGCAAGCCGCGCGGTACGGATCGGAGCTTATCACATATGTGATACGTAGGGGGTTCCGAAAAATTAGCAGTCTCTTGACTGCTGATGTCATCATATCTTGGATGATCGGGCAGCCTCTTCATCATCAGCTGACCCGATCATCCTCCTAATCTACGTGGATGCATACTGCATCCTCCATCGCCTTCTCCCATAGTATACATCTGATCGGGCGGCCCCTTCATCGTCAGCTGGCCCGATAGGTAAGTAGTTCTAAATTTTATTTTATTTTTTTATTTTATTTTTTTGTTATTTTATTTTTTTACACAGCGCGTCTCGACGCGTGAACTTTGGAGATAGGAGAAGAAGACGATAAACCGAAGGAGAAGGGGAGAATAGGGGAGAGGTAGACGGGGGTGATCAGAGGAAGTGATCGATGTCGGGATTGAGAGGGGGCGGAATAGGTGGAAGAAAAGCAGCCGTTGCTGCGGGAGTCGTTGGCGCATCTTCCTCCTGGAAGTGGTGCTGGACGAACAAGGGATAGAGGAAGGCCCCCGACACATGAGACAGGACACGTGGCGCCAGATCCACCACCTCTCGCACCACCCGCTTGCGCACCGATCGGGGCCCTGGACCCGTCATCACCACATGGGTCTCGGTGTAAGGCCGCCGCTCCCGCTTCTGCGCCGCAAAGACCAGGAAGTGGTACATCACATTGGGACGCTGCCCGGTCTCGTAGATGAGCGTCCCAATTAGTCGCGCCGCAATACACCCTTGAAAAGGCCCAAAAGGGGGTGTCAGATATGGCTCCCAGGCCGGATCAGGGCGCGACGCCCCCCCGATGGCCTCGAGCCTGATGGTGGCGGGCTCCACCATGAAGTCCACCTCTGTCGGATGGACCGTGCGGCTCGGAGGAACTACTAATGTCACCGACCGGGGCACCCCGGGGTGGCTGGCGGGAACGGAGAGGTCCCGCGAGGACGAGGGGTCTGGATATTGGATTCGGAAATCCCATTCGGCTTCCTTCTCTGGCTGCTGCTGCTGATGATGGCCCGGCTCCATCAAGATTGAGATCGGGCACACGGGGGAAGGGCGGCGATGGCACGACAGTCTCCTTAACGGGCGTCGCCGCACTCCCAGGCACAGGGTCAGGATTCCGCGCACGCGCGGGCTGAATCACCTCCTCGCCACCACCGATCCTGCTGCCTTGCGCTCCCAGCGACGGGTGGCGTCTCTTCCTCTTCGGCGTCTTCTTGGGGGCCTTCGGTGGCGCCGGTCGAAGATACGACGAGGGAGGTCGCAACGGCTTTTCGTCCGGGAAGTCCTCCAGCCTCTCCGCGCGCTGCGCAATGTAATCCGGGATGACGACCTCGTTGTACGTTCTCCGCGGGGCCGTCGCCGTCCGCAATCGTGGTTGGATCTCCTCCTCCTCGCTCGCGATCACTTGCGCAATAGAGAGGAACTCAAGATGTATGAGCTCCAACAAGCCCGGATCGATCGTTTGGAGCTTGGCGAATGGGTACAGCGCCACCATCCCTTCCTTCTCCGCTGGCTTGGGCCATGTGATGACGTAGTAGACGACGAAGTGCTCCCCGATGCAGTGGTCTTCGTGATCCACGAAGAACCGGAACATCCCCAGCGCCACCTACGTGTACAGCGCACGGTGCAACTCCCACGCGTCTTCGTCGGCGAAGGGCAGCGGCTCCACGTTAGTAAGTTCCACCAAATACTCCGAGAACTCGCGCATGGGATAAGGGCCCTCCGTTAGCTGGTAGGGGAGGGTGGTGTAAGAGAAGAAGGGAGGCATTTAGTACGGGACAGGGGGAATGGCTTGGAAAATGAGAGGAGCAGCGGGAGGAAGAAGCGCGGGGAGCTGTGGCACCAACGCAATTGGTCCGTCCTCTGCCCTGCACAGCTGCACTTCGTGGGCTGTGAATCCCCCCGTCCTTGCAATCTGGCCACTGATCTGGCCACTGATCTGGCCGCTTCCACCGCGTATTCGCGTACAAAGCTTCGTGTCGGCTCCCGATTCGGCTGCAGTAGGATCGTTTAGTCTCCGATAAAGGTGGCGACGCTGTGCACGAAGTTGGGTGCCACCTGGAGCGCGCGAAACTCAATGAAGACTCGGGTCGTCTCCCGACCAGGCAACTGCGTCACATCCACGTACACCCCCGCATACGTCAGCCGATCGCAAAGCAACGAGTACGCCGCCAAATCATCAACCCCGGGCGCTGGCACGTTCACCTGCTGAATGTCGTACCGCAACTGCCTTTCCTCATTGAATCGATGCCGCAACAAGCGATCTGCAAGCGGCGTCTGGAAATGCTCGAGGGGCTCATGCTCCGGCTGGCGATGGTTCATCCTGCTCCCTGAAACTCTCAGCACCAATGGACGAGGCAGATTGGGAAGGGGAGGAGGATGAAGAAGGAGAGGGTGATCTCGCCGGAGCGGGGATCCGTAGGGGACCTAGCGATGGTTGGAAGGGCCGGAGCGCGGCAATGTGCCGTGTCAGTGGTCGGGCCTGGGAGTTGTGACGGGGAATCAGCTTCAAGGAGTGTTGTCCCTGTGCGCCAACTTCTGTGACCTCGTAAATGCCTGTGTAGCGAGGGTGGATCTTGGAGGAGCACGCAGATTTCCCCAAGTCCCCAACTTTATAGCGGGGCATTGGTCCCGCCAACACGTGTCGATTCTCGTAGTCACGGATCTGTCGTTGATGTGTCCGATTTACGGCCTGCTGTCGACGGCGAGCTAACGGGGGATAGGCCCTAGCCATTAAGTCCATGTAGTGGCGGGCCTTATCTCGGTTTTGGGCCCGTGTTGCTCTAACTTTCGTACCTACTAAGGGGGACAATTGCACCCGAGGGACACTATTGGTTCTCAGTTCAAAGGGGGACACCCCAGTACTACCGTGTGGGGTAGCTCGATAAACGGCCAAGATGTGGTTGATAATGACCGGCCAGGGCCGGGTGTCTCCCGCGGTGATATTCCGTCTAAGGGCGGTCTTAATCAGTCGGTTGGCATTCTCTACCAGGCCATTGGCTTGAGGCCAATGCCCCGGCGAGTAGATAATCTTAACGTCCGCCCTGACTAGGTGACGTTCTACTTCGCCTTGAAATTCCGACCTATTGTCCATGTGTACCTCTTCTACGTCTAGATGCATGCACAAAAATCGATTTACGTACCA